TATGCCAATAAGTCTGAAATAGTGAGAGATACAGAAAAAAAAAATGTTGATCTTGCTTCTAAGATCCATGAAGAACTATCTGAGTCACAGATGTCTTGGCCAAATACCTGGAATTGGGGATTTTGGCTACTGACCCAGGCATGCCTTTTATAACACTGCTTATAACCTTACTATTTAGATCTCGTATACTAAATCTTTTGGTCAAATTTTTTTTCTTTTTTGACAGTTGTTGAACTACTAATGACAACCCTAGCCCAGGAATGAAACCTGGCTCCACATCCTCGGTTCAGTAAGAAATCCTTGGAGGAAGAACTCAGCTCCCTTGAACTCAAAAGTCAGACAAATTGAGAGTTCCTTGGCCTTTGTGTAGGTAGGGCCAATTCCCCTATTCAGCCGGAAGTAGCCATGGAAGGTGGAACTTCCTTCAGTGCCCCTGAAAGGTTTTCCAAGACCTGGGCTCTTGGCTGGAAACAGTGCAGGAATAATAATAAAGCTGCAGAAATCACTGCTTTCCACACATTTAAAGTCAAACAGTGCACTATGGCCATTCCTTCTTCCATCGTCCTAAGAGAAGTAGAGAACAGCATAACAAAACTCAAGAGGTCTTTGCCAGTTGAGGCAGGAACACATATGTGTTAAATATTCTTACCCTGACCTTCAGTAACTTTAACCCTCCTCAAACCTTATCAAGAATTCATAATTATGGACTACATCTCATAACTTAACTAAAATCAGGGTAACTTCTAGGCCAGACACATGTGGAGAGCCCCTGAGATGACCCAGCACCCTGTCAATCACTCCTGTCAATCATACTTAGATACACAGACTGAGGAATCTGAGCTGAGGTGCATATCCTTTAGATTCTGAAAGCCCAATGTGTCTGTCTGCTGTGCTTTTACTTTCCTGTCATCCTAGTATGGTTATGCCATATTTTCCTGCCATATTTTCCTTGTCATGCAGTTGCCCTGAGTACAACTTCTCATGGTCTTCATTAAATGTAACTTCTTACCACTTGCCATTTAGACTTTGTGCTTGCAGTTCTCTGCTCACTTTACAAAAGAGCCTGGCATATATCTGCTGAATTAATCGTGTGGTGACAGCCCCTGTTGTCTACATTTATCCTGGCCCTCTGATACATTTCTTTAATATAGATCAAAAGCTCTCTGATTGTAGAGCATAGGATTTCTCAGACTTAAATCCATGTTATATATTTTAGGAATGATCAATACACAGTGATGATGAAGGCACTTTTGTCCCAAAAAGGGAATATCTTTCTCCTCCTATGGCTATACTAAATCAAGCAGATCACATGTAAACAAAGAAAGAAATATATTTTCTTTACATAAAATTTGAACATTAAGTTTTATTAATACTCTTAATTTTTTAAGTATTCACTCTGTTCTGATTATTTATTTTTAAAAATCCCAATTGGATAACCATAGTCAAAAACACCACTTATTAATGTTTTATCAAATAATATTAAAATAGTACAATTTAAATATTAACATCTTGCTAAATGTTCTGGTTTGAGTCTTAAAGCTTTATTACTATATCATTTTTAGACCAAATTCTCCAACAAAATATAGTGAGAAAATTGTCTCACTTCTTTATGAGTCTCTTGGCCAAAAAAGAAAAAAGAAAAAAATCAAATCTTAACTGATGATCTAAATCCTCCTGGAGGCCTTGTATACTTGGATAAATCATTTTTTATGTCTTTCCTCTGGCTTAAGATAACATTTATGATTGTACAAAAAGAAAAAGAATATGGATAGGAAAGAGATGTAGTTTTCTATTGTTTTAAATTTAGAAAAAAAATCACTTTGAGAAACTGAAAGTGATGCATTTATACTATATTATGGTCTAGATCTGAAATATCCCTCATAATTCTCATGCAAGTCAAAAGTTATGGGATTACAGGAGTATGATAACTGACTTGCTGCTATAGTAGTTTAGTTCAGTGATTATAGGTAAGGCAATTAGAGCAGCCCAACTATAGGGTCTCAAAGGAAAATAGCCCAGCATTTAAAAGTAACTCGAGCATCTGGTTGTGCTTAGAAATGTAAAAGAAAACACAAGAACAAATTATAAAAAGTTAGGATAAGAAAGGGAAAATAAGAGGCATTTTCTGAGAAATAAGTGTGCTGTTAGTTAACAACTCCTCCAGACTAGACTTGGAAAAAATTAAATTGCAAAGTAACAAGTTTCCTTGGAATTCAGCTTGCTGTGACCAGCTAAATAACTGATTTCCTTTAAGCCCACAGAGTCACTTGTTTAATACAAGTCCCTATACATATGGCCAAAACAAAGACAGCATATCAGGCATGTTCAGAATCCCCTCTTGGATATCTACCAAGAGCATTTTTCTTAGTGTTATTCCCAAAAAATATTCTCCTAAATTCCTCCTTTTATGTATTAATTTAGTTTTCAACTTCATGAGACAAAGAATTCTGGTTTATACAAGATTAACTGTGTCACTGCTAGGAGAAAGGGCCTGGTTGGAGGGGGCCACTGAGAATATGACCTGGAAGGGTAGGGTACACCCATGTCCATGGAGTTCTCCCTCTCTCCCTCTCTCTCTCTCTCTCTCTCTCCCTCTGCCCCTTCCCCCCTCCCCCTCTTCCTCCCTCTCCCTCTCTCTAGGTTGACTGATTGTGTGAACTTGAATAAAAGAACCTGAATTAACTTGGCTCAGCAGTCCCACGCCCCAGGGTGTGGAAGACCCACTCTGGGTGGCTCGCCTGGATGGTGTAAAGTGGAAATGAAGAAGGGTGGTTCTGTTCCTTCTGAGGAGCTCCAGTCCTTGCCTTCACCTAGGACGTCATCTCCTGGCTTCCAGCACAGACCCTTGAGCTTCAGCTCGGATTCCTGTATCCTTCCAGTGTGGATTCTTCAGGCCTCCATCACAGACTAATCAGCCTCCAGATACGGACTTGCACAGGATACTGCAGTGAGCTCAGACCTTCACCCGGATCCCTCAGTCTCCAATGTGCAGACAGACCCATATACAAACACAGGCCATAATAGGTCCCTTGCTGCTTTTGCTGTCTTCTGCCTGCAATGAGCTGTTTCATCTCTATGATGCCTGTCTGCCATGTGTCACCATGCCTTGTAGCCAGCCAATGATGGACTAGCACCTCTACAAAGTGTGAGCTAAATAAACCTTTTCCCCTTTAACTTTGGGTATTGGCTATTTTGTCTCAGCAACAAGAGAAAAGTAACTAAGAATTTGATACCAGAGAAGTGGGGTTGTTGCTGTGACTGTACCTGACCATGTTTTCTTAGAAGCCTTTGGAACTGGCTTGTGGGAAGGGGAAAAGTTAGGAAAGGTTTGTAGATGCTGGTTGAAAAAGTAGAGGTGAAATGCCATAGGCTGTACTTGATAGGAGATTCTGGTCAGAGTTCAGAAGACCAGAAGGCTGATGGAAATACTGCTGGTAACCACCAAGCTCAAGAGTTTTCTATTGAGAAGACTGCATTAGCTGTTGGACTCCAGACAAAGTATGTTATGGCTTGACAGAAAGTTTCTCTGCATTTTGCTCACATCCAGAGACTTTGCTTGAGGCTGAGATTAAGGGTAGGAGACTTATTAATCATGCAGAAGAAATTTCAAAGGAGTCTAATGTTGCAACAGAGGCATGGCTGCGGTTGAGGACTTTTAGACAGATTTAGGTTGATAGTCAAGAGCATAAAAGCCCAGTGGAATGATTTAAAATGTTTTGAGTTTGGCCAGAAAGGAAGATCCGGTAAAGCTGTGGACTGAAAAGACAGAGCAGAGGAGATCTCACTTGCTGAGACGGAACAGGAAAATAGAAAAGATAGCCTGAGGGCATCACGAGAAGCAGCAGGACTACCTTTTGCAGCTTCAAAATTGCAAAAGTGATTTTGCTTTGAGAAGAGAGCTCCACAGCATCATGTTCCAGAATGGCGAGGCTTAAGGAAATTTTTCCTCGGAATTTGGTTCATAGGCACAGCCCTATAGCCCTACAACACCTAACAGCCAAGAAAGGGAAGCCGGGCTACTGCTCCAGCTGGCAGCAGACCTTGGCATCATCCACAAGGTGATGGTTTTAGATGCAAGCAGAATGCAGGAGCTGTGGGTCAGGGAGGCTTCCACCCAGATTTCACAAGAACGGCTTGGGAGGTCAGGCAGGTTGCCCCTGAGAGGACAGTGTGTGAAGCTGTGTGTGAGGCTGAAAGTGCAGTGCAGACTTCAGGAGTTTGGAGAAGCCAGGAACATGGATAATCCAAGGAAAGCTGCAAGGAGTGAACAGAGCCAGCCAAAGAGAGGAGCCATGGAAGTGACAACACCAGAAGTGCTGCTGCAGCAGAGCCTTGCAAGCCCTTTGGAGTGCACAACTCACCACAGATTGCCGGGGATGCTGGGAGTGAAACTGTGGGATTTAATGTTTGCCCTGCCAGATTTGGGTGTTGTTTTGTTCCCATTCCTTGCTATCCCCCTGTTTGTAATAACATTGGGAATAGAAATGTCTACTTTGTGCCTTTGTATGTTGGAAATTGTCTGTTGGTTTAACTTTCTTTTCATTTGTACAGAGGTCTGCAGCCAGAGTTTGCCTTAAACCTGAGAGGATACTTTGAACTTGGACTTTTCAGCAGTACTGAAAATGTTGGGACTTCAGTGACGCTTGGGAGACTGGCTAAATGCCTTTTGCATAAAGGGTTGTGTATGAATCTTTAGGGAACCAGGAGCACCGTGTTGTGGCTGTGTCTAGATGACCCCCAGAGCCTCCTGCAGTGTTAGGTGGGGCTTTTTCAGAGGTGACTGGATCTCCAGTGTGTGACGCTGGAATTGATTCATGATGCAATGCCAGGCCAAAGGTCACTAGGACTAAAGGTGCAAGTGCTACCCGCCTTAAGAACTCTGGGGAAGATAAAAGGGCTAGAAAGAGCTGTGGTCATGCCTTGTTACTTTGCTACCTTCTGTCTGCCATGAACTGTTTCTCCTCTGTGTTGCCCCTCTGCCTTGTTGCACTGCCATAGAGCCAGCTGATTACAGACCGAAGCCTCTTCAAACCGTGAGCTAAATAGATCTTTCCTCTCTTAACTTGGGGGTGTTGGTTATCTGTCTCAGCAACAAGGAAAGTAACTAAGTCTCTCTCTCCCTCCCTCTCTCCCTCCCTCTTTTTCTCTCTCTCTCTCCCTCCCTCCCTCCTCCCTGGTTGCCATGGGTTAAGAAAATTTCCCGTGCTATGTCCCTCTGCCTTCCTATTTCTCCTCTGTAGCCAGCTGACCAAGGACATAACTGAACCAAAATAAATGGCTCCTCTTAAGATGTGAGTGTCTAGATGTCCAGTATTTTGTGCTAGCAGTGAGGAAAGTGAAGAAGGCTTACTAGAAAAGATTAGTGGCACAGAATTTGGGAGATACATCTGTCATAGCAATACATATATAGAAAATGTTTTATAATTCCATGTCAAGATATGGTAACTGAAATATGTTAAAGAACTTTATGGAAAATTATTTTTACTAAATTTTCAATTAAACTTTATTGACTTAGTTAAACAGCTAGATTTGGAAAATGGTGGATGAAGAGTTTGAAGGAACCGTTACTTTTTATTGTGAGCTCTTCATTTCTATTTTTGCTTTACCCTGTGCTTTAGTTATTTTGATTTCTAAAATTAATTTTTTTAAAATTTTTGAGACACATGTGCAATGGAAAAAAATAAAAATTAGGAAGAAAGGAGACCAGGAAATCAAGATTTTTTTAAACATCCTTAACCTCGGCTTTAAGTTACAAAAGTTACTCAAGCCATTTTCCCCTCCAGGCAACTCACTCAGAAAACTTTTGAAAGGTCTTAAAGCTACAATAAGATTGGGCTCTGAACGCATCCTTTTCGCATGTAAATTGCAATTTCTCTACTTCCACAAAAGCAATGATACTGATAGCCAGTAAACCTCCATTTCAAATGCGTGTGGCTGGCTTACATTCTGACATAATGTGCCAGCTGTGAAACCTGACAGACAAGGGTCAGCTTGCTGGGCCACTCAGTGTGGAAGACACCCCCAAAAGCCCTTAAATACACCCTGCTCCAGCTCATAATACATCTCATTTTTCTCTGAGCACCCACATTTCATTTTGAATGTACTCTAAATGTCTGCTAGTAAATCATTATCATGCCTCTTACTGACGTATCTTGAAAATTTTTTTCCATGGCAGCAGTCAGCAGTGAACCTACAAACACAAGTGTGGGATAGGCTCCTTTCTTCAGCCTCAGGGACGTCTCAGACCCAGCCTGGTGACATTTTCTCTCTGTGAGCCAACAGCAGAAGGTAAAAAGACATCAGCATCGAGAAGACAACTGCGGTAAGTTCAGCCAGAAGGCTTTTCGATATTTTTTCTTTGTTCTTCCCTTTTTCTTCTAAACCCTTGCCCTCTGAAGCATAACTTATCTTTTTTTCTCTCTCTCCCCTTGACTACAAACTTCTGCAGCATTGGGATTTTTTTTTCTTTCCTTTCCACCAGTTAGAGATTCCCAAGACCCTGAAAAACGAATGCTTGTACATAAAAGCACTAACGACAAGCAGTACCATCTCCCTCTAAGCCATAAGGCCAGGAGGTTGCAAGAGATACCTGGGTACTTCCTCAGGCCAGGGTACTCTACTCCGGGATCTGACTGAACTAAAATGTGACCACCAGGGAGACACTTATGAGGAAGAGTCCATCCATCGTCTCAAGAAAAATTTCTATGAGACTGGCATAGAAAACCCAGTCCTGAGACATTATCGAGAAGATTGGCCTTTGGGGTGTTACCCAAGGGAAGCATTCTCCTTAAAACATGCATTTTGGGCTCCTACATATACTCTCCATAAAAAGAAATTCTCAATACTTCTCTTTTGATCTTTTCTCTCTCCCTCCCTCTCTCCTCTCTCTTTTCTCTCTCCAACCTGAAGACTATAAACTCAGTCTGCCTGATGCCATGGGTCCACTTTTTTGGGTGGCTGAGAACATGTCCTAAGCCAAACACAAATAAGTGGTCATGCAGGTAATAATTAATGCTATCTTCAGGGCCTGGTGAAGTCTATGAACTAAAACTGAGAAAACGTCCACTAGTTTACTTTTTCCCTCTTATCTTCCCCCTAAGAAAGCCCTGATCTTCCTTTTTCCCCACTCAGGCTTGCATCTGTCAGAAATTCAAATCCTTTAACTTCTTCTTACATTAGTCATCAGAGAGAAGGGGGAATCTAGAGGGTAAAGGAGCTGGGAAACTCAGGAGTTTTCTCATGGCTGTGGGAACAGTCCCTAGTGTTTCCCACCATGTAGTGGAGGGGGAAAGAGTATGGACTGTTTTTTTCTGATATGTGATAGTAGTTGCTAAGTAACACCTCCAGTACTATGAGTACTTTGTGTGTGGTACTGATCCCTAGATATAAAATCTTAGGGGTAATTTTTTTCTTTTTTAGTAAACCCCAGCTCTCATGTACAACTCCTTTTCCTGATTTCCTGATCTACTGGTAAAGGTTAGAATAGCTAAGAGCCAAGAACAAGACAGATCATTCTAGACATGAGCAACAGATATTCACATGATTATTAGGGAACCCTCGATTAAGCAGTGACAAAAAACAGGGCAGAGCAACCAATCATGTGGCTCTGACCCTGCATTAATAGAGCAGAGCTGCTTCCTTGGGTAGTTCTTATTCTGGAAAATGGGTCAGACTTCACAGACAGCCTGGCTCTGGCATAAGGCTCCAGAGGCCCCTAAAAAAAGCCTGAGAACTTAGCCCAGCTAGTTCCTCTACTGCATCCTCTCTAAGGGCCACTTCCCACATTCCACTTCCTTATCAACCTATCTATCCCCCATTACCAAAGGAATCCAGCCCTGCTGGTGTAACAAAAAGCAACATTCTTTGCCATCATGAATGACTCAAAATCTAATGTTTCCACTTCAAAAAGTCTCAGAGAGGAAACAAGGTGTTCTGGGAGTACATATTCCTTTCTCCATGAATGATCAGACCCACAGTTAACAAAAATTGACTCAGTTCTCAGAGGACCCAAACAGATTCATAGATAAATTTCAAATTTTGATCTGCAACCCTGAAACAAAGGCCCATAAATGGGCAAGAGCATAGCCTAAAACCTATAAATTGCATGTGCATAATAATACCAAACTTATACACCAACCGTAAGGAATCCTCATTGGAAATACCAGATTGGAAATGAGGATCATAGAAAGTGCAAAGATATAGTTATGAATTTGATTGAGGTGATGAGAAAAATGTATAAATAAGCCAGTTAATTACGAAAAGATTAGAGAAATCACCCAAGGTGAAAAAGAAAATCCTGCTTCATTTCTGGGACACTTAAATGAGACCTTCCATAAATATGCTAATAGTATTGAACCTAACTAACAGGTAGGACAAGTTTTATTGGGGATAAATTCTTCAGCCAGTCAGCTCCAGATATTCATAGACTACTTCAGAAGCAGGTTCTGGATCTTCACTCCTCTACTGATGAAAGTTTAAACTTAGCCTTTCGAGTCTTCAACAACAAGGACAAAGTGGTGACAACTATTAAGGCCCAGGGAAATGACTGCAGGCACAAGAATAGGCTCAATTAATGACTTTGACATTAGAAAACAAAATCCTGCCTCCTCAAAAAAAACTCCAAAGACTGCAAATACAAAGAGGAAGGATATGAGACAAGATGGCTGCTACTGCTGTGGAGAGCCTGCAGCGTGGTGATCAAGGCCCTGCTGGGACATGCCCTCTCTGCAAAGAGGGAACACAGCGAGGGTGGGATCATCCTCTCCACCTAAGAAAGGACAGGCTGCCTCTCCCATGTTGGCAGCTATGGATGACTAAAGGTGCCCGAGATCTCTTAAAGACCCTTTCAACAAAGTAGATATCGCCTTCAAGAGTCTTGGTTAACTCTTGGTATTACAGGTAAACACAGAAATTTTTTTTGAAGCTGGGACATCGTTCTCTGCCTTGTTTGAATCCCTTGGACCCCTTTCTAGTAAGACTTGTGTTATAACTGGTGCTGAGGATATCTCTAAGGCCAAAGACTTTACAATGCCTTTCAGAGAACTAATTTTCATTCAAGTTTTCCCCATTTTTATGAGGATATTTTTGCCTCCGTAGCAACTCTTTATCACCAAAATATTCATCTCCATTTTCAGAGCATTAACATCAGACCTACTAGACATTATATTTAGAGATATAAATAGGAAAATTTTATCAGAGGTAGATCTGCAAGTCTAGGATGCTAAGAGCCCCATAAAGGTTGTTCATGCCCAACCTGTTGTAATTTCCTGAAAAGACCAAAAGAATTATTCTCATAAATGATAATGTCCTATTAAGCCAGAGGTTCTGATTTGTAAATTCCTCAAACATGGCCTTTTGATCCATTACCAGTCCCCATGAACACTCCCATCCTTCTAATGCTAAAACCAAATAGAAAATATCAGCCCCAGTCTCCTGTGGCATTAACAGTCCACCATCCTAACCCAAATACTGAATAAAACCACAGGGTTAACTGTCTTAGATCTTAAGGATGTCTCTCTCTCTCTCTCCCTCCCTCTTTCTCTCAATCTCTCTCTCTCTCTCTCTCTCTCTCTCTTGCATACTATTGCATCCTGACTCACAATATCTGTTTGCTTTTTAAATGGACTAATCCTGGCACTAGGGAAGTTATCTAATATACTTGGATAGTCCTATCCTCAAGGGTTCAAAGACAGCTCCAGCTATTTGAAAATGTTCTCACAAAAAATTAAGCCTCTAACTTTTAAAAATGGGCACTGTCCCAGTATGTAGATGATCTTTGAGTCTATAGCTCCACAAAACTGGACTCTGATAAAAATGCTGTTGGGGTTTTTAATTTCTTAGTGGCTGTAGGATACCCAGTGTGATAGTTAACTGCAGGGTCAACTTGAATAAGAAACACCTGGCTGATTGATTGAGCACAGTTCTGGGTGTTTCTGGATGTGGCAAGACACATCCTGGGTGTGGTCGGCACCAACCAATAGGCTTACAGCTGAGGTGGAAGACAAAGGGAAGAAAGAAGGAAGTCACACTTCCGCTTTCGTCAGAGGAGCACCCATCTTGACTTGCCTTTGGACATCTTTCTCCAGGCTTTCAGCACAGACTGCAGCTTTCAGGTGCAGACTCTTCAACCTTTCAACACAGACCCTTCAGCTTCTCCATACAGACTGCAGTGAGATGCAGGCCTTTGATTTTGACTGAATCCTCTGGCTCTCCAGCATGCAGATAGCCCTTTTGAATTCTCCCACAACTGGCTCTGCAGGTGGCCACTGTAAGCCTACACTGTAAATCTTTATTTATCAAGTTTCTGGAATACATTCTTATTCAATGTATTCCTCTAGTGCGCCCTAACTGGTACAGATTTTGGTAGCAGGAGAGACTCTAGAGTAAGAATGTAAGGATTAATTTCTTTGGAGGCTATAGTGGTTCCTGGAGTTGGCTCTCTAATTTGATGAGATCTAAAGTTTCTGTGGTATCTCCTTCTGATACTGTGGGGAGTACTGATATGTCGTGGTGTGAACTGCTTAATGTAGTGATGTCAATCAGTTTGATTAAGATAATCAAATTCCAGTTGAGGTGCAAGCAATTTAGTGGTGCTATATGTCATCAGGGGTGAAACTATTCCATGCATGTTATTGTGTTCTTCTTTTAAGACAAAAGATGTTAATGTATGAGTTGTTTTTTTTCTAAACTAAAACTTTAGTATTCAAATTTAACTGCAGTGTTCGTGTTTTGTGGTAAACAAGTGGGTTTTGGGTTGCAGTTTGGGCACTCATCTCTAAACGGTTTGCCATCGCTACTATACGTGATATTTTTAAATATTTTTTTGCAGTGGGAAATATAATGATATTGGTCGATTGTTGTTAGCATCTCTTGACAAACTAGTAAAGAAAAATCATGAGCTCCCAACATGCATAAAAAATTTGAAGTCTTCTAAGTCTGAGAAAATTAATAAAGGAAAATAATGAGCTCAAAGTTTCAAATTCCCAGATCCAGATACAAATAAAGAATCCAAAAGTCTTTACAAAGTGTGTCCTAAAATAGCATCTTTTCTCCTTTAGCCAGGGGGCTGAGATTGCAGAAGCCCATATACAACCCCTCATAGTTCCACTGGCTAAAATACAGCGGAAGTTGAATGAATGCTCAGCCTTGAAGGATATGTGAAGTGAAAGTTAAGGAACTGAGTGGGAAAGAACAGGACCTCATAAATTGGAATGGAGATCTTTGGGAGTATGAAACCAGTAAGGCTATGCTCCCAAATTCTAATGAGATTATTTTGCCACAGGAAGAGACTTCCCACCCCACAGTGATAGAGTCATCCCCACCCCAATGCCCTGTGGTGCTGGCCTCTTGCCCTGTACCTAAGGAAACTATCTCTTTGTTGCCTGATGCAACTACCAAGCATGATATTCCTTGGGACCACTCTCATCCCCCACTTTTACCTCTAGGTGTATGACCAGGATCAAATCCCAGAAGACTGCTAAATGTGAGGTATGTCATGTGACCCACAAGTTCTCAAAGAACGTCTTGAATTTTCTAACTCTTACAAGCAGAGGTCTGATGAAGAATTGTGTGAATGGATTTTAAGAGTGTGGGATGATGGTAGCAAAAATAAACACCTGGATCAGGCTCAGTTTGTCAATATGGGCCCATTAAGTAGAGATTCTAAATTCAATGTGCAGTTAGTGGAGTTTTAAAAGTTTTAATAGTTTACTGGACTTGTTGGCAGAAGTAAGGCTCAAAAGGTGGCCCACTGTGAATGAGGTAGAGATGCCTAATACTTCTGGGTTGGCTGTTGGTAAGGGGATTCAAAGGCTGAGGAAAATGGGAATGCTAGAGTGGACGTGTCATGTAGAAGCTAGTCCTCCATGCTGGGCTGATCCATAAAATGTACCCTCCACTGATATCTTAAGAGACAGATTCACGAAGGGAGCACTGCATGCCCAAAGAGCCCTGTCATTGTACACTAGACCTTGTGGTAGGGAACATATTCACTCGATTGGGAAGTTTAAGGGCAGTGAGTTTCCTTGAATCCCAGAGTGGCAGAGGTCATGTGACAGCACTCAGCTGCCAAAGACAAGGTGTGCACACTGTGATGGAAAGCAGTCTGACATGGGTAGGCCTGTGACATTGGCTGACCAGTCATGGTGTTCCCCAAAAGTTAAACAGACAAGAAACCTACTGAATGTGTATGCGATTTATATAATCAAAAAATTTAAGGATGAATGAACAGAAATGGATCTCATAGAATCATAGCCCCTCCAACAATTCCCAGCTTTGAGTCAGTTTACAGACTCAAAAACCTCTTGAATAAAGGGCAAAGATCTTTCTTTGAGGAAAGATCCTGGTGCACTGCCCATAATTTATGCTGTCAATCTCTGTCCCATCCTCCCCCAAAGTGACCTAAGGTCTTTTACCAGGGAAACTGTACACTGGGGAAGGCAAAGTGATCAGATATTTGGAGTACAACTAGGCACTGATTCTGAACAAAATGTCATCATCCGACTCACAGTGGGTTGTATACGTCCCTGAATCCACCTTGCAATTATTCCCCAGTTCCTGAATGCGTAATCCAGATAGCTATACCTATTACTTGGCAGAATCCTCACATAGGTTGCCTAATTGTAGTGTGAAGTCTATTATAGTTGGAACAGCCAGGTGGAAGCCTTTAGCGATACCTTTACCTGGTAAAATAGTAAACCAAAAACAATATCATATCCCAGGAATGATTTCAGAGGTTAGTGCTACTCTCAAGGACTTGTTTGGCTCCCACAACACCCCCATTTAATTCCCCTCCTTGCCCCACGAGGAAGATGGATGGGTACTGGACAATGGCAGCACACCTGCTGTGATTCAATTAAGCAGTGACTCAAACTGGGTACCAGGTGTGGTTTCCTCACCTGAGTAGATTAACACATCTGGTAGCTAGACAGTGGCTGTTGTTTTGGCAAATGCTTCTTCTCCATATGTATCCAGAAAGCTCATCAACTTGCTTTGACCTGGCAAGGCCAACAATATCCCTTTACTGTCCTACATCAGAGTCTTATTAACTCTCTAGTCCTATGCCACAACTTAGTTTGCAGGGATCTTGATCATCTTCCCTTTCATGAAGTATCACCCCAGTTCTTTACACTGATGTTATGCTCACCGGGCCAAGTGAGCAGGAGGAAGGAAGCAACCACTCTGGACCTGTTAGTAAAGCATTTGCATGCCAGAGGGTGGGAAATAAATCCAGCTAAACTCAAGGTCCTTCTACCTTAGTGAAATTTCTAGGAGTCCATGGGTGTGAAGATGTAAAGATATGCCTTTTAAGGTGAAAGATAAGTTACTTCATCTGACTCCCCATACAATAAAAAAGAAGCACAATGCTACTGAACCTCATCAGATTTTGGAGGCAATGTATTCTTAAGTTGATGCCTAACTCCATCCCATTCACTGAGTGACTCAAAAAGCTGCCAGTTTTGAGTGGAGCCCAGAACGAGAGAAGAATCTGCAATAGGGCCAGGCTTCAGGGCAGGCTGCTTTTCCACTGGGGCCGTAGAATCTCAGTTACCAGTAGATGTGATGTACTCAGGCAATCAGTGGCAAAGATACTGTTTGGAGCTCTGAGCAGGTCCCCAGAAGCATATCACGGCAGAGTGTTATTGGCTCAGGGAACAGTGTCATGCTGGAGATTATTAGTCTCTGCTACTGGCCCGCTGGGCATTTTGCAGCGGCTGTAGTCAGGTCAGCTTTGATGAGTGGAATTCCATGTTGCTGTGGCCATGCATAACCTCTATTCTTGCCACCATGGCCATAATTCAGAAGCCCATTTGGTAATAGCAGGGGTAACTGAAGGAAAAGGTTGACTGCCATCCACAGAATGGGTCGTCCTATCCACTTGATTATGAAAGTCTTCTGCCACTGAGGTCATGTTTTGGTGAGTATTTATGTGCAACACAACTATCTTTACAAGCTTCACCCATACTGACAGGAAGAAGAAGTCCCCAATCTACTATTCAAGGAAGTCACAAGAGCTTGCTCCCTTTACCTCTACCACAATCTAGGAGGAAAAGTTGAGCCTCCTCCTTTGCCTGGTACGAAGGCAAGGTATCTTCTCTAGAGAACATGGGTAACTAGTCTTCACCCAGATACCCCCATGCCGGGGACCCAAATACCCGTGGATAAAGCATATCACACACAGAATAAAAAACTCAGTAAGTCACTAAAGCTCTGCCAAAAGACATCATCCTTAGGTTCGGATTTCCCACGTCACTTTGGAGTGATAACAATGGGCCTTTCTTTGTCTCCAAAGTGACGCAAATTATTGTATTACTTATGGCTTTCCTGAGGTTTAGCATTGTCCCTGAATCTTTTCTACAGATAAGTCCTTAGGAGCCTATTTCTGACTTCAGGTGTAGTCACTGACCCTAAAGCACAAGAAATGATTAAGTGTATAATGTGGGCCAGGTACCAAAGTCTTCAGTAGGACATGGTGAGAAAGTTCTTCCAGCACAAGACACTGCAACTGACATCACTGAAATTCAGCCTGGTGATTATGTGCTACTTAAGGACTTTTTTAAAACTTCCTCTCTAAATGAAAGGGCTCCTACCAAGTTCTTGGAAGCACACCTACAGTTGTCAAGCCACAAGGACACACATCACAGATTCACTTAACAGAAGGTAAACCTGCTCCTTTTCAAACTTTAGAGAATCAAGAAGTCAGGAAGCAGATCTGTGATGGATGCTTTGCAAGCCTGTAGAGGACTTGCAGATGCTATTTAGAAAAAGTAAAAAAAAGCTGTTTCAGGATAAATTAGATAAGTTTCTTTTTCTCTTACAACTGCACTGTCTGCTAAAATCAAAGTCCTGAGATTCACTTTTTCCTGAACACATATGTTATTCACCAGTGGAGAATCTTTTCCTGAACTGGGCCCACCAGCATGCCAAAAACATAACAAAGATGCCTGCTCAGTTGGTGGGCAACTGCCCACCTCTAGCACCTCTGGGCTACCATGGTGGATATCTCTACAGGGGGATGGTTGGATAGAGCTGCAAAGTGCAGCAACAATTTTAAAGCGTGCTACCAGGGCTGATGCTCTCAATGGCCGATGAATGAGACTCTTCATCAAAAGGTCATAGGCGACTTCTTCTCTAACACTGTTTAATTCTCATATATGACAGTATAGAGATCATAATCTACCCTAGACTCCTAAGCCTGCCATGATAAAAGGTAGCCACTGATTAATAGATAAATATTTTCAGATCTACGATAAATATGTCTGGGTGACATCTACTATGAGACAATCAGCCAACTAGCACCCCTATGTTGGAAACAAAAAAAATACTTATTATAAACAAAGCAATGCCACACCAAATATATGGTAGATTCCTACACAAAGCTATAATCACACCACTGTGTTAATGATATTGACCTGTTTGCTGCTTACTAAAAGGTAAGACCTAATATAAGATGGCCAGCACCAAATGGTACCCAGCTGCTCTATGACACAGACTTGGTTGTCTTCGGGGTGAATAAAAAATGTACCTTAGAGAACCCATGGGTTCAGGAGCACTGAGTCAAATAGCTCAACCAGCCAGCCTCCCAGGCTGAGGACATCAGGCCAG